TGCTCCACACTAGAACACCCAGGCACCTGGGGCCTCAGCTCTTGATTAAGACAGAGCCAGCCCCTTTACAGAGAAGGGGAAATTTACTTGGCTTGACCCAGGAGTGGATTTGTTTCCCTGCAATTAGTTGGAAAATCGACCTTGATCAATGAAGAAGGCAAACTTATAGCCTGAGCTGATGTATTACTGCCCTCACTTTGTTGTAATAAAAGATGAAATCACTCCAGTGGGGACTTGTGTGGACATGTGCCTGGGTTTCTAATGACCATTCCCTCCGATTTTGAGGGCCTGAGTAAAGCCAGCCAGGATGACCAAGTAGCGCTTCATAGTAGATGCAAGATAGTTTGGGGAGCCGGAGAGGGTGGAGTGTTCCTTTTTTTTTGGTTTCCATCGCACGTCCTTTTGCTGAGACTTGGTGATGCTCCTCTAGGTGCTGAAGATAGAACCATTCTGGCCAGTTTGCAACACAAGTCAGTGTAGACTATGCATCCTCAGGACAGACGGCTGCCAACATGGCCTCCACCCTGTATAAAGGCTGTTTCTCTCCACTTTGCTTCTGAGCTTTCCTTTGTCTGCCTCTCTTTAGCTGTTGATTATTTTTGTTCTATTTTGCAGCATCTTCCTTTCTGCTCTCTGTCTCTTGCTATCTATTTATATCTCTCGTCTTTCTCTTCCTCCCCCTTTGTCTTCCTCTCTCTTTCCTCCTCGCCGTCTTTGCCACTGCATCTCACTCTCTGCCTCATTTGCCTCCCTTCCTCTCATGGTCTTATTTTTGGCACTCCTCTTTACCTCCTCTTCTCTTTCATTCGGGTTCATAATATCTTGAAAGAGTGTTTGATAACGTTTGTCTGACCCTGCCTGACATCAGGTGAGTGATTCTCCTCAGGCAGCTTTTGATGTGGTCCGTGTGTGATTGATGAAAGCTGCTCCATTTGCTCTTCAAAGCTCTGTTTATGGAGAGCTTGGATGCGTCTCCCTGGGATTTCACTCTTTTTCTCTCCAGAAACAAGTCCAAATTATAGGATGAAACCATGCCACCTCCCATTTTTTCATCATCCTCACAGATCCCTTAATGCTCACAGGAGAAGAACCATATTGTACAAATCCACCTTTTTTTTTTTTTTTTTTTAACTGTTTTTATTCCTAGAGTCCTCAGGTCAGAGATTTTTACCCACAAAGCAAGTTTCTTGGGAGAACTTTAATTTGAATACAACCACTTTCAACCCAAAATAAAACAGAAGAAAAATGCTATTGCTGTTAAGACCAGATTCTAAGCACATTAGGTACCCTGGCTACTTAAGATATGGTCAGCGTAAAATAAGAAGACCTAAAATCAAAAGAATTGTTTGCAGCTCTGGTTCCAGAAAGAACAGTGGGTCAACTTTCCAGTGCTAATCACCCTGGATCCCAAAAGCATATGAGAAGATGAGGCATACTTTTACCTGGCCCAGGTTTTCTGCAGCACTGTTCCTATTTTTCAACCCAAGAAGAGGATTCACACACCTGTGCCAGAAGACTTACTCATTCAACTGCTTGAAGAAGGGACACACAAAATAGTCTGTAGAAGATTCTTCTAGCTCTTCGACTGCCTAGTTCTGAGAATCTAAAACTTTAGGTATGATAAATATAGTGCATTGGAAAGATTGCTACGTTTTGTGCTAGAATATCTGAGTTTAAGTGTAGATTTGGACAATTATGAGTTGAATGATCTTCAATAAATTTTTTAAATTTTTTTTCAGTTTTTTTAACAGCTTTACTGAAGAATAATTTACATACCAGAAAAGTCAGTCATTGTAAGTGTACAGTTCAATGATTTTTAGTAAATTTATAGGATTATGCAACCATTACCACAATGCAATCTTATAATACTCTCAATAAATCTTTTAATGTCTCTCTATTTTCTTTCTTCATCTTAAAATTGGACTTATGTGGTAGACTGATTGCAAAAATGACCACAGTCCTTCAATACATTGCAATGTGACTTTGTTTCTCCTTCCATCAAGAGGTGAAATTGATTTCCCCAGCCCTTGAATCTGGGCTGGCCTTGTGACTTGTTTTGACCAATAACGTGTGGCGGAAGTGAAGGGGTGCCAGTTCTGACCCTAAACCTCAAAAGGCCTTGCATTCTTCCCCTTGCTCTTTTGGAACCCTGCTATCTCTACCTTGAGTATACGGTTGGGTTAGCTTACTGGCAAATGAAAAATCACATGGGGAGAGGTCCCAGTCACTCCTGCTACCCCAGCTTAGGCCGTCTTAGATCAACTTCCTCCAGCTGCCCTCTAGGTGACTACAGGGGCTCCACTGACATTGACCAAGCCGAGCCTAGATCAACAGCGTTGGCTAACCAATCTGGAGACCCATAAGAAATAACAGAAGGTGATTGTTTTAAGCTACTAAGCTTGAGGGTATGTGATATTGTGATTTATAGTAAGAATATATTTGGTCCTTGACACGGTTCCTGGCACAGAGCTCCTAAAACCCTGGGAATTTCCTAAGTGAAGAGAGCTATAAAGGTGTCTTTTGTTATGCTGATGAAGTGACTTTTGGACCCCACCTAAAGATGAGGCTGATTGACAGTAGAGCGAACCCTGTGATTAAAGGGTTGGAACTTTTAGTCCCACCCCCCTGACCTCCTCCAGGGTGTGGAGAGGGATTGGAAATCGAATCAATCCCCACTGGCCAAAGATTTAAGTAATCATGCCTGTGTAATGAAGCCTTTATAAAAACCCAAAAGGATGGGGTTTGGAGAGCTTCTGGGTTGGTGGATATGTGAGGTGCCGGAAGAGTGGCATGCTTCCAGAGGAATAGAAGCTCTGCGCCCATTCTCACATACCTTACCCTGTGCATCTCTTCCATCTGGCTGTGCCTGAGTTATATCCTTGTGAACCAGTGATCTAGTAAGCAAAATGTTTCTCTGAGTTCTGTGAGCTGCTCTAGCAAATTAACCAAACCCAAAGAGGGGGTTGTGGAAACTTGTGATTTATAGCCAGTCGGTCAGAAGTACAGGTGACTACCTGGACTTGCAATTGACTTCTGAAGTGGAGGCCAGTCTTGTGGGATTGAGAGCTCAATCTGTGGAATCTGACGCTACCTCCAGGCGGATAGTGTCAGAATTGAGTTGAAGTGTGGGACACCCAGCTGGTGTCACAGAATGGCTTGATTGGTATGAGAAGACTCCCAACACATTGGAACTGGAGTCAGGGTTGTTAGGGTGGTTTGCAATTTAAACAATTATAGAGGCTCTAGTATGTGAAAAGCAGTATGTCTGAGGTTGTGAGGGATGCAGAATTGTAAAGACAGGATGTAAACCCTTCAGGAGTTAGTTCCAGTGGGGAAAACAGATATCCAAACAGTTACAATATAGGACAGTCTGTCCCTCTCTGATAATGTTTATATCTAAGTGGGTCCTCCATTGTCTGCAAATAACCATGTTCTTCATTTTTCGCTATTTCACTTTGTTCGAAAATGTGTTCAAGGGATATGGTTTATTGAAAAACCCCAAACAGCACATTGACCAAAGTTAAGTTTTATTGTTATGTCCAAGCACGGAGTTGTACTGACAGGAAATAGTCTATATGGAAGCTTGGCCGGGTGAAATGCCTCATGTAGCCAAGGAAACAGAAAAGCAGATGTGAAATCAGAGCCAGGGTGGGGAGGAGAATGAAAAGGCTAGGGACAGGTGGGTGGGAAAGTCTTCATTTCTAGAATGACCAGGAGCTTTAATGCTAAGGTTGCCTAAAGAAAAGAGCACTGCCTTGGCAGGCTGTTTTTGCTAACCTCCAAAATATTCTCAAGGTTTGGGAGGCTGGGATTGTGGTAGGGAGGAGAGGGGCTCTGCAGACAGGACCTTTGGTACCCAGGAGTCTTGAGGTTGGTTGAGCTCAAGCTGATTCCCTGAGTTCATGCTCTCCAGGGTACAGACATCTGGATAGTCTGACAGCACACTGCAAAGAGGCCTGGCGTGGGAACCAAAGAACCTAGTTCTAGTCCTAGTTGCTGTGTGACCTTGAACAAGTCACTTTCTCTTCCTGGGGCTTGACCTAGGGGATTTCTAAGGTCCCGTCTAGTCAAAGAGTCTATAACTTCAGGTCCAATTCACCCACTCAGTTGAAGGAGGAGATTGAAATCAGAGTAAACCGAGGCAGATGGAAAGGCGTTCTGACAACATGCATGGACCCTTGGAAAATGGAACACTACAGGAGACCCAAACAGAGGTCCCTGGGGGAGCCCTGCAGATCTGAGAACCCTCCCCACTTCTACACTGAATGTATCAAGTTCTGACCATGCTCTCCTCAAGGACTCCAGAGGCCCTGGATGCTCGCCAACTTGTGAGCTGACTGTGGGGGCAGCCGTCAGACTCCTGGCTTGGGCCTGTTGAGGGTCTCCTCTGTTTCAAAGGGGTTTCTTAAAATGCACTTGAGCTCTAATATGGGGCTGTGTAAACAAGGATAAGTATTCCTAGCAGGCTGGTGGGAGGGGTGGGGGTGAGCAGGTGGTCTATTTTCCAAGCAGTGGAAATAAAGGAAACTCAAAGAGCAGAGAGAGCTGTTGGCCCCAAGTAACTCCCCGAAGCTGGCATGAAATGAGCACTCTCCATGCTGGTTAGGGTCTCTTTCAGGATGACGACTGTCCACCATATCAGGAACAACTGGACAATTTCTGGGACGCCTTTGGGAAGACGTAATCCTTGTCACCTCTTGCTTCACCCCTGGGGGGCGGTAAGGGAAGAAGCTATAGAAGCCCCAGCTTCAGAAGCACCTGCCCAGATCTGAATCAGCAGGAAGTAACCTCCCTCTCCTGCTGTGAAGAACCAAGGAATTCCTGACTGCAAGCTTTCAATCGGAGCCACTGCAGCACCGAAGTCCCACGGGGAAGTCATTTGACTTCCCACCACAGGGGTCCTCCAAGGCGCAGGAGGCTCCTGTCCTCTTCCAGGAGAGTGGCATAAGGGAGGGGTCAGGACAGGAGGTTGTGGACAACCACTGTGAGTGCTCACGACCACTGTAAGGCTGCACCCCCAAAAGGAGGGCCTAGGGATGGCGTGTGAAATGTGATTATATTCAGTTCCTTTTTCACCTCAGAAAAGAAAACAGCACAAACAGCATCATTCAGGTCAATGTCCTTCTCCTATAGCATTATTCTCTTGTTTGTGTGTTCCTCTGTCTTCTTCTTCTAACACTGTTCACTCGCGCCTCTGGAATCATTGGATCACTGAAGCCCTGCCCCTCCCTGTAAGTCACCCAAAATCCGTGGCGTAAAACAACCATCTCATTCTGCTCACAGATTCTGTGGACCAGGGGTTCAAACAAGGTGTGGCAGGGACTGCCTACCTCTGCTCCGTAGTGTCTGGAGCCTCAGCTGGGAAGACTCAAAGGCTGGGGGCCATTCAAGGCCATGAGGCTGGGATAATCTACAGGCTCATCGCTCACAAGGCTGGCAGGCGGCACTGGCTGTGAGCTGGGACCTCAGTACAGCTGTCAGCCAGAACATTCACACTTGGCTGCTTCACACACTTGAGCTTCGTCACAGCATGGCCACCTCAGGGCAGTCTTACACAGTGGCTCATAGTTCAGGGCTCCCAGTGTGAGTGTTCCAGCAAATAAGATGGAAGCTACAAAACCTTTTCCTACCTAGCTTCAGAAGTCATGGAGCATCACTTCTGCCACAATCAGTTGTCTACAAGCAAGTCAGAAGCCCACCTGGATTCAAGGGGAGGGGACATAGACCTGGCTTTGCTTGGGAGGATCATGTAAGTATTTGCAGACATGTTTTAAAATCTTCACGGTAGCCTATGTTGCCAGATCCAAACCAGGCCCCACCATCACTCTCCGTCCCTTTCCCTGTAAGGAGCTCCTTCATCTCCACTTCTCGAATCCTAGGATACTTTGGAGGTGACAGTGGGGAACTTGCTAAAGTGCTTCTTGGCTCTTTGGCCATGGTTGAATTTAAAAGTGGCAGAAATTCGGTGGGAAACCTCCTTACTTTTGCTCTTCCCCCATTGCTGAACCTCTTCCATAACTTGCTACTGCTCCCGGGCTCTGCCTTGATGGCTGTTTTGTGGGTCCCTGGGAGTGGCTTTGGGCCCTCGTGTGTGTCCTTGCAGAATGAATTGAATGCTAATGACCTGTGCCTGCCTCAACGCAGATCTCTTCCTTGGTAATACCTCCATGCCAAGCCCTTGTCTCATCACACTTTCTGACGGAAATGATTTCCCCTCCATGGGGTGGCTTAGGGAGAAAGACTTTCAAGCATGTTCTAGAAGGCATTGGCCTGCAGTGGCTAGCACAGAGCCTAGCACTGGGAACTTGCTTAATAAATGATTGTTGAATAAATTAACCCTGGCTCGTGTGTTTTAGATGACTCATAGCGTCTGATTCAGCCTGATTCACCGGAGGATGTGGGGGCATTTGACCAGGGGAGAACCCTGCTTGTTCCCAGAAGGGAGGCAGTGTTTGTGTGTGTGTGTAGGGGGTGCTGATGTGCATGTGTGTTTTGGGGAGACTGGGGTGGGTGGGGCTGGTCCTGTGTCATGATACTGTGGTCTGGGGCCAGCAGCAGTTGCTGTCATGGTATCTACCCGGTTTCTGCTATCTTTTCCTGCTTCCTTATCTCCATTATTTAGAAACTCTTCTGGACACATGGAGCAAACCCTCCAAGTGTCAGTTCACTTGTCAAGGTTCCTGGAGGCTCAGACCACTGCTTCTTCCTCTTTTCTCCCCAGTGTGTGGATAACTCACCAGATACTCTGGGTAAACCTGACCTCACTTGAAAGGACCTATTTACAATAGCATTGGGGTGGGGGTGGGGGAGAGTCTAGACTTGTGGGGCCCCATGTCAATGGGAGAAATGACAAGAGTAACTATGCTAATCAGTCAATCCATTTGGAGATGCTGAAGTCCTAGGAAACTTGGGAATTATCTGCTGTGTGTTTCCCATTTAAGAAAAAACAAGAAACAAAAAAAGACTTCCAGGCTTCCTTGAAGTGAGGGAGCTACTGGTTGGACATTCAATCCATGGAGAAAGGGACTAGAAACTGAACATAGAAGTCTTCATTGCCCTAAAATGAGCCTGCTTCTTTGTTTTTCTTTTTCATCATCCCCTGTGCAGATCCACGACCCTATGTGCATTAATTCTCCATCCTATGTGTCAGCATTGTAGTAGGACTTTCCATATGTTACCTCCTAATCTGAACAACATCCCAATGAAAGATGGATTGTTATCTCCAAGCTACAGATGAGAAGAGGGAGGCTCAAGATGTGAGTTAAATTGCCCAGAACACACTGCTAGTAAGTGGACGATCTAGATCATTCCTTCATTCAATACACTTACTAGGCTATGCGTTAAGCTATGGAAAGGAAAGAAAAGGAGTTAGTTCTGGTTGACAAGAAGTTCACAGTATAGAAGAGGAAGACAGTAATTATATAACAATATAGTATGTGCAACGATAAAACTATACATGGGGCATTTGGGTAAGCACTAAGAGGGGCATCTAATGCAGCTGGTGAGGGTCAGGGAATGCTTCCTGGAGAAGGTGATGTTGGAGCTGAGGGTTAATGATATGCAGGAGTTAGCTTACTGAAGAGAAGCTGTGGGGTGGGGCAGGGCATGCCAGAAAGAGTAGCAGCATGAGCAAGACATGGAATTAGAAAACAGCAAGTTATGTGGACCTATATGCAGTCTGTGCTGCACTGGGATTGGTCCAACTGGATCAGTTATCTGACTTCCAAATGCAAGTGCTCTTCCCACTGTGGTCAGTCTCCTCAATGAGCTGATTTTGGAGGGCACGGTATGTGTGGCACTTTATGGGGGCTTTGGATGCCCAGTTTTCACTCTTGAAAAGTCCTTTATGGAATTAGCAGAACGTGGGAGGCTTTCACTGGAACTTCTATGTTGTGACTCATAAAGAGGGCTTAAAGGGGATCAGGAGGTAGCTGTGACAAAGGCTGTTGACTGACCTACGGAAAGTCAATCCACCCTCCAGTGCTCCAGGACTGCCCTGCAGCATTTTGGAAGAAGTAGGCCAGGCATCACCAGGAAACAATGCCTCCTGGGTTCGCTGCCACAAAGCAAGCCGTGATGAGTCAGAATGAAGCAATAGTTACATACACCAACAGGTCTAGTTGGCAGCAGATAAAGATATTACCTCAGTGAAAGACCAGGGCTGAAAATGGGTGAGGTCTAACTATGCTAAAGAGCTGCTGTGTTCTTTCCTTTTCCCGTGGCCATGGCGGGAGTGGGGTAGTGGGGAGGGGAATAGGGAGACATATGATACGTGCATTTAAGTTTCTAGCCACTAAATAAACAGATCATTTTCCTACAGACTACCCCCCAAATTGTCCTCACCATTTGGCTTTTTGATCTCCTTCCTTTAAGGTCTTCTCATGGGGTCACGTGGAGAGGACCTGAAGATAGAGGCTCTTGCTGTCAATCAAGAAATATCTTATCCCACAACCCATGCCTGATACAAATAGGTGGAGTTTCTGTCCTGCTGTGAGAAGTTCTATAGGAAGAATAATTGTGACCAGAGAAGTTAAGGGTACCTTTATAAGAAGGCCTTTCTGGTATGGGAACTGGAACCACAGTACCAGGAGCTGGAAGTAACCTTATCAATTTATAGGTCAGGAAACTGAGTTGATGATAAGAGGGAAGTGACTTGCCACAGGTCAGACTCAAATTAGACATAGAACCAGGAAAATATCCTGTCTCTTGACTCTAAACATAGTTCTCCTTGCACACATTGACCTGCCCCTCATGCGGTTGTTGTGCCCACTGTCACAAAGCCTAAAATACTGTTTAATTATCTTTTAAATGAGCATTACAATTTACCTTTTCTAAAAGAAGCCACTTGAGGGACCATACTTTGTGTTATTTGTAGATTCAGTGCCCATCACATGGTCTAAGACAGAATTGACACTAAAAATGTCCCTGTAATATTTCTCCCCTTGAATATGCAAGCAGAGACCTCACTGGGAGCTGAGATTTGGTGGATCATTTTGATTTAAGTGGGACCTCATGTTTAACAGGGCTTCCTGTCCATTATCTTGCTTGGCTCCTCTTCAAATACAGTTGTATTTTCTGGGTTATTTTTACATTCATAATTCTTGACAGGAAAATCCTCCCATCTAATCTTTGCTTTATTTCTTTGTTTCAGGACTTTACCTAGCGTGTCTAATAGAGGAACAAGTCACGTCCCGTGGCTCCAGGCCTGCAATTCCACAGCATACCAAAGTCAACCACAAGACTGCCTCCAACCTCACCCAAGTCAAGGGTGGAGGTGGGGCTGCTCTCTGCCCCCTGGGGAGGTAGACTCTAGGACCAAATGGGTATGTTCTTTGTTGATTTCTCCTCCAGTGTTCTCCAGAGAGGTAGCATTCCTGGATGATGGGGTACAGAGAGCTTTGAGATTAACTTTCAATAGAGCAACGCAAGCTCAGATCTAGGGAAGAATTGTCCACCTGAAAGCTGCTAGAATATTGGGGAAACATCACTTCTTGCTATTTAATTCACTCATCTGGGATAAAAAGACATCTCTTGGGGATGACTTAGATCAGTGGTGTCCAACCTTTTTCAGTATGGAGAGCACATTTTCATCTGAAAAAATTTATAGACCTGCAGATAAAGATACTTAACGCTTTAGGAATGCATTCGTAGAGCAGTGCTTAAGAGCAGAGGCTATCACCCTAAAAGGAATTTGAATGCTATTAATCACAACCTTCTCTATATATTATCCCAAATCTGAGTTATTGCTTTCACTCTGTGTTTCTGTAACTTTCTGTGCCTGTCTTCACCCCTGGACTGGAAACTCCATAAGGCTGTGACTGGTTTGATTTGTTCACTACCCACTGTATACTCAGCACCTAGCACAGTTCCTGCACAAAGTAGGCACCTTATGTATACTTGTAGAATGAATGAATAAATACATTGGAAGTGTCAGAATATATGTACTTGAGTCATGCCATGAAGTCAACCTATAGGTCCTGATTCATGCAAATATGGTGCTCCCATGGGGTCCCAGGGTCCACAGATTGGAAACCGTGGCTTTAGATTTACATCCTTGTGTCCAATATTTTGTTCCATTTTCCCCATAGGGAGCTTAATGTTCAGTAGACCACAAACACCAGTCTCTGGGTTTAGAGACAAATGATAACTAAAGGCGGGAGCCTGTACCGCTTGACCTGCCTAAATCCTTTCCAAAATGGAAAGTCCATGAAGAGGACAGAATGCCCAGCTTAAAGGCTGGAACTTCCCAACAACCACGGAGACAGGGAGGTTGATGACAGCTTCCTTCCACAGCCAGTTTCTAACATTTGTAGGAGCAAAAAGTAAGGTAATCTCTAAGAGCCTCTAGGCAATCTAGTTGTTATTTCAACCCCAAACAGCCTTGCAAAGGTACTTTGCCTCTTTCCTCTGTCAACCTATTTGTGTGGAGTGTTGATAACTAAAGTGACACACAGCAAATACTCTGTGTCTTGTAAGGCATTGGCTGGGAGTAGAGATGAGTTGGGAAATATAGGAGTTGAAAGAAAGAATGCTTGGTTTAAAATATGTGTATGCAACATGCCTCATAGAATGCGTGTATTAATATTTAAATGCTGACATCTCTTCTCTCTAGACAACAGCTTTTTCTCTTGATTCTCCCTGCTCCTCTGGATAGTCTCCAAGCAAAGAGAGAGTGAGATTCCAGGTGTGAACAAATCAGGGAGGTTTCCTGCTTAAGATTCAGAAATTCGTAGCCCTGAGGAAATGAGTAAAAGAGAGGAGGGGAGAGAACAAGAGAGATGAAAAACAGAATCTTCGCCACCTGCTATTTAGTGATTAACTCTCAGATAAGGAAGGCAAAGATGCATTCCAGGGGCTCAGGACTTGCCCAGGCGGAACTCAGAGTGAAGGAGGGCTTGGAGCAAAGTGAGCCAGAGGTGGGCGGGGGAGACTGGGCCACTAAAAGCACCATCTATCAATTTTCTCTCAAAGCCCCTCCATTTCATCTAGCCCCTTCCCTTCCAGCTCTTAATAATTTAAGTACCCTCTTTTTCATTCACCCCTGCCTCACCTGCCTTGTTTTATGTAAAGGAGTCTTGCAAAGACTAGCTCTGCCACTAACTGTGTGAACCCGGGCAAATCACTTACCTTCTTAGATACAGGTCTAGTGGCTGCTATCTCTTGAGTTTAAATCGCTTAATCCAAAGCACAGGAAGGGAAGTCAACAATAACAACCACCCAACCCAACAAAAAATCCCCTAATGCTGGGCGGCAGAAGTCCTGGGGAGTTTGCTGGTGAGCAGCCTCTCTTCTAGTTCTTACTTGCATGCACACCAGGCTGATTAAACCACGATGGAAAGCTGGTGCTTATCCATTCCCTTACTGAGGAGCAGCCTGCTCAATTGTGGTGTTTTGCTTTCTCGGTAGAAAGGGGTGGAAATCATTTTTGCAAAGCTTACTCTTCTTACCCATGCAAAGCTTACATGCATGTGGCATCTGTGGCCACAAACATGACCCGGGTTCTGAGCAGAGGGGGCAGGGTGCTGTGTACTTGTCTGGGGTGCAAGGCGTCTTCCTCATTAGCCTTTCCTGCTCCCTTTGTACTTGTGACGGAGAGTGTGTTGTCCTTGACAACCGGCATGGGTTCAATTTTTCCAACATTGTGAGGTCAGCACGTTGGCTTTTAGCCTCTTAGAGCAGGTAAGAGCCATTGAGCCTGGACAGATACAAGAGCAAGTTACTAATTCTTCCTGATTTTCATTTTACACTGCTCCCATAAAAAATAACTGTAGAAATTATGCTGTGGTAGAAAATAAATACTCTGGCCGTTAAAAACTGGAAATCACTAGCTTTGAAGTTTCTCCAAAAAATACAGCCCCAGTTGCCGTGCAAACTCCAATCAAACATGGGCTGTAAAAATCCAACTGTAGACATTGCCTTGTAAAGTGTTCACAGATGCAACAGCAGAAGAAATTCTTACAGCCTAGAAAAAGCAAGATGTCTGCTTTTTTCCTTTCTTTCTGTCTTTTTTTTTTTTTGAGGGGAGATGGAAGGGTTATGCATCAAACTGTTCATTTCAATATGTAATTTGCCTCAAAGAATTTCTGACAATTTATTTTCTCACCAACCTAAATCCAATTCAAAAAACATTTATTGAAACCCGAACAATCTACTTTTGGTTGACGAGTGCTAATAGGTGCAATGTTATCCCAGTCAACTTATAAGATCACCTACTGAGCTTGGAGCTAAACAGGAAAAAGGAAATTAAACTGGAGTTTGAATTTGTTTCATTCTAAATTCCCCACCATAGTTGGAGATGGACAGTGCTTAATGAAAAACAAATTGTACTGTGGGCATTTCTTTATTTAAAAAAGCCAATTTCTTTTTTTTTAAAGTTGGAAGATGTTCACATCTTAGTGTCGGATGTCCCTCTAAAGCAGAGGGGATATATCTGTATGAAAAAATAAATGATGTCAAAATGTCTCTGTTTTTTCAATATTTCTTTGCTAGTTCTTGGACTAAACAAATATTTCCAGTGAAAAATGACAAATATAATTGTTTACAGACTTTTATTTTTCCCAAGAGACCAGCCTCTCTGCTCTCCTGGGTTCCATGGACAGGTGGATCCCCCTGAGAAGCTGAACAGCATCATGTCATTTTTAGTTTGAGAGCTTTTGTTGGAGTATCTACTGGGTAGGAGGCAACAGGAGGGTGTGAGTAAGTGTACGTGTGCGTGCACACTCCCTTATGTGCATGTGTGTAGAGCCAACAATAGTGTATCAGTACTTGACTAAAATTCCACAACAGCTCTTTGGCTAAATCAGACAATTTGGTCAAAATGGTTGATCCAACATTATCTCGTTCCCCCTCTTTATTTGTAGTTTCCTGAGAGAACTTGACCATTAAATGCTAACATTCTAGACTTCACTGGACAGGACGCTCCATATCAAAGATCATCTTCTTGCTCCCTCTGTGTGCAGACTATTTCGGCTTGTCTGTAAGGGACTTCCAGAGTTCACTTGCTTTTCACTTCATTCATTCACTCACTTGTACAATTGGAGATAACCAAGTACGAGCTCTATACCAGGCAGTCTTCTAAGTGCCGGAGACACTACAGAGAACAAAAGAGAGAAGGCCCCCTAACCTCAGGGGGCTGATATTCTGGTGTGAGAAGACAGCCAGCAAACAAAATAAATAAATAAATACCATAATCTCAGGTCACGGTAATTACCATAGAGACTGAAAAATCAGAGAGAGGTGATGGTTGATGGATGTGTGCATGTGGGGTACTATTTGGATTAGGGGTATCAGAAAAGGGCTCCCTGAGAAGGTGATGGGTAAAGACAACCAGGTGGTGGGAGCCGAGGTGGCACGTAGGAAAGAGTGTGGCATGCCGAAGAATCAGGGAAGGTGTAGCGCCTCCGCAGGACAAGTTTAGCTTGTTCAAGGGAGTGTCCCCACACTCCAGTCTTCCAGAGAGGGTTTTCTTGGCCCATTTGTTAACCAAGTGGGAAGCTGTGCTCTGACAGGGGTGGATGTGAGGATCTGGGATACTTTATGAAGTGTTGCTTTCCTTAGAGATGGAGGACTTGCTGAAGTTGAAAAACATCAGGACTCTAGTCCCACTTTTGCCAGTAGCAGAGTATGTACCTTTCGGGAAGTCTCTTCCCCACTCTGACTTCAGTTTCTTCCTAAAATAATTTTGAAGTTGAGTGATTTTAAATTCCCTTCCAGTGCAGACAGTCTCTGAGCCCTCTAAGAACAGAAGCTGGAATTGCATTTTCCAACTTGAGAATACCCTATTAATATAAACTCACATATAGGAAGTTAAAAGCCAAGGCCTGGGTAGAAACAAGCATAGGAATCAGAGTTACACCTGAACAACTCCTCCTAGAGTCCAAAGGAGCCATGTTCAGACACTTGACATCTTTTAATCTCCTTGATTTGGTCTGTGTTGTGACTTCCATCAGTAGGGAACCTCTACAAGAGGCAACCAATAGAGAGGATTGTATGGATAGACTAGATTTCCCAGTGCACACTGAGGTGAGGCCTCCTGCCCATATGCAACTGTGTGAGGAAGGGCAGGTCTGATGGCAGAAAAAGGACAGATGGGGTCCCAGGGTCTTAACCTTCAATAATAAACAATCTTTCCTAACAAAGGTCTCTGGTTAAAGGAAGCCCTTTACTACTGAGATCTTCTGGCTTGCTGGTGTGGAAGCAGCCTTCTTTAAATCCTGCTGTAATGTGCAGAGAAACCCACAGCTATTTCTTCCTCTGTTGGATCTATTGAACAGTATTCTATCAGTTCAGGGTGAACAACATCCCAAAGCCCAGTGAAAATAGAGGATGAGGGAGTATCATTCATATATGTGTTTTGAGCATCTTTATTGTATGGAAGAAGGCATCTAGAGGGATACGTAGTGAATCAGATGTAGTCCTTGACCTCAAAGAACCTCCTCAACATAGACCCACATGCAGATACCTAACACTAACATAGGTCACAGAGAAGAGAGTGATGGATGGAATGAAGCGGAGGTGGTGGATGAGTCGACACTTGGAATCAGTTCTTACAGATAATTAGGACTCCAAATGTCAGAAACAGGGCCAAGGGAACAAAATGAGGAAAAGCTGGGCACAGCACAGAACTTCCAGGAAGAACATCAATTCACCTGGGCTTCAAGTGGAAGGACCCTCAGAAGTTGAAATTCACACTCTGAGAGCTTGACACAAAGGAAGCCAGAGCTCTGCCCTTTAGTAGTGTGGCTCCTTTTGGTCCTGGTGTTTTCAGTTCCCTTTCTAGGAGAAGCACAGCACCCTCCTTCCCTCCTCCCCTCTCCGCCTCCTCTGCCCTACCGCATACACAGGGAACCCACAAGGAAGGCAGGGCTGTGGATTTCAGTAACTAAACTTGCCTCATTGCTGATTAAGGAAATATTTTAAAATTCCATCCTTTTTGGCACTCTGATGATTTGCTCCCAGGTTGGAAATCAACTTTAGTCTCAGGATTCTTCATTGTTCCTTTGCTGTGATTTCTAAATGCCATTTCTGGCTCACCTTTCTCCATCCAGACGTGCTTCCTCTCAGACACCAGTCTTTGGGAACTTCCTTCTTCCTCTCTGATTTCAGTCCCCAGATGTTCCACCAAGAGAGCCACCTGTCTATATTCCCACTCACCAGTCTTCAGCATCCAGATGCCTCTGAGAAACAAAACCACATCCTGCCCGGCAGCCATCCCGGTCTGATCATTACCCCATCACCATGGCTCTGTCCCAACTTAATTCTACCTTGTCATTCCCAACAATACTCTTTTCATCTCAAGGTATGCCAACCGGTTGATTCATATTTACTCTTGACATGTATTTGATGATCACACAGAATTTTACCAGCTAGTTCCTTTCTGGCATACTTAGTTTGTGATCTCTATATTCCTTCTCTTAACAGTGGCCATGTTGCTAGTTAAAGTTATCTCTTATGATCATACTCTTGGCCACATAGTAACAATAATGGTAACGAGAACTAACCTTTATCAGGCAGTGCTTTTGTGGAAGAATATCACTTCCTCAATACTCAAGGCAACCTGTGAAACAAATTATCCCATTTTATAAATGAAGAAACTGAGGCCTAGGGAGACAAAGTGACTTGTTTAAGCCCCTTCTGGTAGTAAGAGATAGGAAGGGCTCAAACTCAGGACAATTAAATAGAGTTGGTGGTTTTCAGAATAGGGAGCGTGCTCTGCTCTGAATTCTGACCTGGTCCACCTATACTTCCCAGAGACCCACCAAACCAGAGGTTCTCAAACACTTATAGGCTTTAGAATTATCTGGGGGCTTGTCTAAAAGGCAGAGTTTCCCCCCTCCCCCATACACATTCTGATTCTGAAGTGATGGGGCCCTAGAATTTGCCTCATTAACACCTTAACGTTGTTGATGGAGGAGCGTGTGTTGAGAAATTGTTGAGCAAACTTGAGAAGCTTCAGTCTAATAGCCTAAAAATGCCCTCTTTTACTTTTACCCTTCATTGTATGCAAATTTGAGTTCATTCAGGGAGAAATAATTTGTATTCTATGTTAGTTCTTATAAAATATCACTTTAATCTTATTTTAAATGACTGCATTTCTAGAAGAGACCATTTTATCCCAAAGAGAATTTCATTTCTGATCATTTCAGATAGGTTTCTTATTTTAATTCTCCTTTCCCTTCTTTTAATATGACATCATAATCCTTTTCACATCTAGATTTTGTGTTATATTGGTGTTTCTTCATGGAATATTGCCAGAGCTGGCATTAATGATGGAGTTGTCAGAATTGTATTCTAAATGAGAGTAAAATTCAAATAAGGACCCAAATGGAAAATATGCCTATAAATATTTGAAAAGCTCTCTTCTTTTCTGGCAGTTTATTCCTTTTAGCAAAAGGAAATGTTGATTAATATAGATATCTTAGGGGATGCCATTTTATTGTTACATGTACCATCTTAAGAAATATTCGGCTAAATTCTGCTTGTCAGAACTCCAATAGAGGTCAGAGTACTGGATAAAAAATGAGTCCAGCTTTGATTTCCTTATGTAAATGTTTTCTCTAGGTATGTCCATCATGCCAAATTTAATGGTTCTAATAACCACTCCAGATCCATCTAATTCAATTTAATCCTCCCCGATCAAAAAATGCAAAACAACTGTTTGAAAGACAGACATGAGCTCTATTTCTCCCACTAAAGGAAATGAGGAAAGTATTAAAGAGATGAGATCTCAGACACAGCTTCAATATTGATCTCATCTCCCCTAAGTTTGATCTTGTGTACAGAACATAGAGCAAGATTTGGTATAAAAATATGCATTTGGAAGGCCCAAGGAATCTGGAACAAATCATCCATATTCATCTCTTCTTTGGCAGAGATATTCCTTTCTTGGGGATCAATACAAAGATTTGAGTTTGGTTGTTTCAAGATTTCAGGTCATTGGCTCATAGCCGTATTTTCTCACAAGCAATGGCTTTGGCCTCTTGCGACAAGATGTCATATTTTATAAAAATATCTTCTTTCCGTGGAACAAAATGTAAACTCTCTCTTTCCATATTTAAACTTGTCTTGAGAAAACTAAATAAGCTGAATTTGGGACAATGTGTTTTAAGCCCCTGCTCAGTCTAATGGAAAAGTTCCTCTGGTCATTCACACTGATACTCTTTCTATCCCCTACCTGGCCCTTAAACCATCTTGCAGACCTTTGCAGGATACTTCTTGCCCATCCCTCCCACTTGTTGGCTCCATCCGTGATGAGCTGGTGTAGGAACTTGCGGATTTTCGTCTCCTTTGGGAGAAGCATTCTTCAAGCAGAGGCAGGAAACTCGTTGGCAGTTAATGAATGCTCTTAGCGTGAGGGAACCTGACTGGTGTCTAGCAGCACCGAGGAGTGGGAGATGAGCTCTCTCTCTCGATCATGATTGTGCTCAAGTTAAAGATAATGAGCCTAACAATAAAAATAGT